GCCACCCTGGAGCGTTATGTGGAGACCCAGGCCAAGGAGAATGCCTACGACCTGGAGGCCAACCTCGCTGTCCTAAAGCTGTGAGTATTTGCCCTCACCCCCAGCCCCAGGCCAGCAGCCTGCAGGGTGCCACTCAAAATGTGCTGGGACCTGGGCGTGGGGTGGGGTGGTGGGGTTCACCTCCAGGATGTGGCTTCTCTTGAGATGTAAGACCAGGAAGCCAAGAAAGCCGGGGTTTAAAAAAATAATAATGAAGTACAAGGCGTGCATATAGGATTGTCCCTGAGATGACTGTGCAGTTAAGTAAGTCATTGTAAGTGGCGATTGCTCACCAAGCAGCAAAAGAGAGTGTTGCAGGTGCCCCAGGAGCCCTCTGCCCCTACGCTCTGGGCTGAACCAGCCAGGTCCCCGTTATCCCCACCCCCATTTGGGACAGTTCCTCTCATGCTCCCAGTGACAGGCTTTATGCCATAGTTTGCCACCTGTACCTGTGTCCTGTTCACCTCTGCTTAGATTTGCCACTGAACTTGACAAAAGGAATCGGGTAGCCCGAGTTCCTCTTCCTTTCAGCACTGGACCTTGGAGGGCCAGCCAGTTCTCGGTCATTGCTATGTGACAGGTGTGTGACTCTGTCCTCATGCTCCCATGGATGGGCCTTCGACTTCTTCCTCCTCGTGGCCAGCTGAGTCATCTCTGGATTTACACAGCCCTCGGGCTTCTTGTTGGGAGAATGACACTGGAGACGGTGGGATTGTTTGGCTGGCTAGTGGTCATGGCCACAGCTTTGGACCATGCCCTCACCATGCGCTAGGTATTGTACACAGCTGTGTACGCAGTAATTGGCGAACTAGCCCTGTTGTCCCTGAGTCAGGTGTGGTGCTGATTGGCCCTCTTTGCAAAGGAGGACACACTCGGGTCCAGAGCATTGAACGTGGGTGGTTTGAGATCTAGGCTGAAAGATTTGCATGACCTCATGAGAATACCAGAAAGATGTTACACTGTGTTTTATTGACTCCGCAAAGCCACTCAACTGTATGGACCGTGACAAACCAGGGACAGCATTGTCAAGAGCCAGAACTCCAGCACGCTTCACTGTGCTCCTGCAGAACCTGGAGGTTGACCATGAGACAATAACTTCACCAGGACAAGGGGACTTTGCCGGGTCTCGCATCCAGGTTGTGTCCGTTCACCTGGCTTCTGTAGCCAAGAACCTGAGGGGCTGGGCTGGATGAAGAAAACAGCTGCGTCAGAATCGAGGAGGACTCACCCACAACCTGTGGGTGCAGGTTGGCAGAACCAGCCTTGCTGGCTGAGCCTGAAGGAGGCTTGCGGCTGGAGTCTGCAGAATGGAGTGCACCTCAACATCACCCAAACTTTTCACAACTGCCCTATCGTGGCAGATACAAGATTTCCTCGTACTTGGATCCCCACTCAATCCCCATGGAAGCAGCAGTCACGAAATTCGAGGATGTGTTGCATTAGGCAAACCTGCTGCAAAAGACTCCCTTCAGTGTGAAAAGCAAAAGCAGCCCTTTGGAGGCTTACGGGATGCCTGACCCTCGCCAGATCGCTTCCTGTCACCTCCTAAGCCCAGGAAAAGAGGGCAAAGACTAAAGGTGACCAAAGGAAAACAGACGCAGACGAATGAGGGTGTGGTTGAAGAATACTGAATGTGCATGGAATACCAGAGGAAGGAGCCATTTGCTTTTGGAAGACACTCAGCCAGCCAGGATGCTCCCGGAAAGCAAGGATGGAGAGACTTCACCCTGCCTAATTTGGACATGTGATTGGGAGGGACCAGTCGCCAAAGAAGGAGATCATGCTTGGTGAAGTAGAAAGAGGAAGACCCTCCCTGAGGTGGATTGGCACTGTGACGGCAGCAGTGGAGTCAAGCATAGGAATGATTGTGAGGATGGCGTCAGACCAGGCAGCGTTTCCTTCTGTGACCCCTGGGTCGCCGTGAGTCTGAACCAAGTGGACAGCACCTACCACCAACAGTCCAAGGACCCTTGGGTCCACAGCACAGCCACCACAAGTCAAACTCACTGCCATTGAGCCAGTGCTGATTTAGAGCGACCCTCTCCGACAGGGTGAAACCGCCCCTGTGGTTTTCCGAGACTGTAACTCTTCACTGTAGTAGAAAGCTTCCTCTTTTCCTCTCAGAGTGGCTGCTGGTGGTTTCAAACTGCTGACCTCCTGATTAGCAGCCCGATGTGTAAGCCACTACACCACACCAGGGCTCCTTCACAGCAGGGAAGTGTGAGTCCTTACAGTCCGGGGCCAGAGCTCGCTTATCTGTCCCGTGTGCTCTTGTTAAGTGTGTGAGTCGTGTTGCAGAACCTGTCTCGTGGGGTGATGATGAGGCTGAACTTGCCCCTATCCAGCTCCCGCGCAGGAAAGTGAAGCGAGCCCCGCAAGTGTTGTGGGGATGGGAGCCTAGACATACCACTTCCCCAGTCCCAGCGCTTGATGTGGGTGGCCAAAGCCATGGGCCTGGAGATGCCCCATCACTGCATGTCTCATTCCCCTTTTCCAGGTACCAGTTCAACCCAGCCTTCTTTCAGACCACGGTCACGGCCCAGATCCTGCTGAAGGCCCTCACCAATTTGCCCCACACCGACTTCACCCTGTGCAAGTGCATGATTGACCAAGCACATGTATCCTTCCAGCTTGGGGGCAGGTGGAGGGTGGCGGTAGAGGGGCTGACTTGCTCCTTGGGGACTGCCCTGTGGTTTCACTAAGACTAAGGTCCCCATTGCTCATAACCTGAGGGTCCAAGAAGGTCACCTGTCCTTGCCCAGAGGGCTGGGACACTTCCTGGAAGAGGGGACATCTGAAGGGTGAGGAGTTAGGGGCGGGCGATTCCAGGCAGACAGACGGGACGGAACAGCAAACCAAGGAGTCCTGAAGGAAGACGGGAACTTGGTGCCATCTCTGAGAGCGTGGGGGCAGGTCAGCAGAACCCCCACCCCCACGCCCCCACCCCTGCTGCTTATGTCCAAGTGAAGCGTGTCAGACTGGTGCAGGGCGCTGGGAAGCTGCACAGAGCAGGAAGGCTCAGAGTGCTACCAGGAGTGGCAGCTTTAGACCTGCATTTCCCCACGTGGGTTATATCGCCCCCTAGGGGCGTTGGATCAGTCCCAAGGCAGGCCACCACAGCTGATATGTGCACTTGATCCTGGATTATGGGCCACAGTACAAAAGATTGTTTTAAAGGCAGGTATATGGGGGGCGGAGGGGGCTGAGTAATTTCTGAAAGAGGGCAGCAGTAAGCCACAGAAGTTGGGGAGCCTCTGCTCTTAAGAGTTCCCAGCTGAGCCAGTCCTTAAACTCACTGCCATGCAGTAGAACTGCCCCCCGGGTTTCCCAGCCTGTAACTCTAGGAGGGTGTTGCCCTGTGGAACGGCTGGTGTGTTTGAATGGCTGACCTGTGGCTAGCGGCAGTGTGTCGCCCAATGCCCCCAGGGCTCCATGTAGATACCAAAAGATATATGTGGCTGTGTGTTAGAACACACGTGTCGTGTCCTTCCCCCTTCCTATCGGAGAAAGAGGGGCAATTAAGGGGGGGGGCACAACACGTGTGTCCCAACACACAGCCCTATAGTTGCTTTTCTGGTAGCTGTGGGGCGCCCTGGTGGCATGGTGGTGACACACTGCAGGCTGGGCCGTGAGGTGTCGCTGCACTGTAGCTTCCAGCAGCCCTCCTCTGGGTTTGGCCTCCAAGTGCTGCCACAGACGTCCTGCCTTCTGCTGCCTGAGAAATGGGCCGGGTTGGTCTTCCGGTTCTTTCTGGACCGGGCCTTGTAGAAGAGGGCTTGGGGACAGATGGCCAGGCTCCAGGCAGTTTTCCTTGACCGCCGTCACCTCCCAGCAAGAAGAGCGGCCCATCCGACAGATTCTCTACCTCGGTGACCTGCTGGAGACTTGCCACTTCCAGGCCTTCTGGGTAATTCCCTCAGCTGCCGGGCAGGTCCTGCTCAGCGGGCAGGGCCGGGTAGAGCAGACTATCCCCATGGTGACAGTCCCCAAGGCTCAGGCCGGTGTCCCTCTCCCACATGTCTTTCCTCTGGGCCTCCATACTCGCCATCTGGCCCAAGGTCACCATTGCAGCCTTTTCCTGGGTGCTGCCACCAGCTTTCGCACCTCCCTGCCATACCCAGAGCCCTCCCTGCCAGCTCACCCATCACTGTGACCACCCGCTTCCCAGGGGTTGGCTGCAGTCCCTTGCTCTCTTGTCCACCTCGCTCCCCCCCTCCCCCCACCTAACCTCACATACACATAGTCATATTCTGGGCACGTGAACCTCCACCCCTCGTTGAGGGTTGGGTGGGTGGGTGTTTCAGAAATTCGGGCTCAGATTCTGCCCTAGGAGGCTGGTGTCCCCAGGCTTTGGGGTTTTTCCAGTGACCTCAGGTGAATTTGCCCTCTGGGTAGGGTTGGAGGCCACCACCCTTCAGGACTTGTCATCACCAATAGTGGACACTCACTCCCCTCCCACGAGTCTCAAATATCACCCCCCTCTGACTACTACGTCCTGGCCCCCCAGCCCAAACAGTGAGCTCCCTGAGACGTTTCCTGGGCCAGTCATGTCCTCCAGGCCTCTTCCTACATGAAGGCTTGGGACCACGCCTTGCTCTCCCCCCCCTCCAGGTCCCACTGCATTCCCACTCCTCAGCCCCTCGGCCAGACCTAGTCCCAACAGCTGCCCTCCTTGCCCGGACCTCCCCTTCCTGCCTCATCTCCTGGGAGCCCAGGAACAGCTGCAGCTGGACTGCTCCCCACTCCCCGTGCTCCCTGCAGCTGAGGCCACACACTCGCCCCGCTTTTTCTTTCTTGGGGCCCCTTTCCTCCGGCCCAGTGATGTCACACCCACCCTGCCTGGCACGTCCCATATGCCCTGGGCCGATAGCTAGCATCCTCCCCACCCCCACCCCATGTTCCACTGAAAGTGCTCTTGTGAAGGTGAGCTCCACCTGGGTACGTCCGGCCCTGCTGCTCCTGGTCCCCCGAATCCTGGCCAAGCTCCATGCTTTCCCCACGTAGGGAAGGTGACGGGCAGATGTATAGAGCAGGTGAGGGCACTGGCTACGGGGGAGGGAAGTTCCAGAGAGGAGCAGCTAGCCAGTGGCCTTGAGGCAGATCTGCCCCCAGAGGAGCACGGGGGTCCATGGCGCTGGCGCAGGCAGGGCAAGAGGTGACAGGGACAGATAGTGTGGGGCCCACAGGCACAGGGAGAGTACTAGCTTGGCCCTGGATGAGGCCAGCTGATCTGGGGCCAGCCACCTTGCTGCCTTGAGGTGGCTGTCCTGACTCAGACGTAGGCGTGCCCCCGGTGCCTGTGACAGCAGGGCTTGGCCTGCCAAGGGAGCTGGGTGTTAGCCGCCATGGCTACCCAGGTCAACACCCCTGTATACTTTCTCCTCCCCCTTGCAGCAAGCCTTGGAAGAAAACATGGACCTCTTGGAAGGCATCATGGGCTTTGAAGATTCTGTCCGCAAGTGTAAGCCCTTCCCTGGGGCTGGGGAGGGGGAGGGGGAAGGGGCAGGGCCTGGGGCAGCCCCTCACTGCCCCTCTTGGCCTCCACAGTCATCTGCCACGTGGTGGGCATCACGTACCAGCACATTGACCGCTGGCTGCTGGCCGAGATGCTTGGGGATCTGACAGGTAAGGCCCTGTGGGTCCCGGGTGCGAATCTGGGCGCTTAGGGGCAATCCGACCGAGGCAGTGAGTCCTGGGCAGCTTGGCAGATCGGCCCTGAAGGCTCACGGGTTGGTGGGGAGGCTGGGGTCAGAGGAAGGGAGCCCTGCCCTTGGAGATTCTGGGCCAACTGCTCCTGGTGTTGCATAAAGGGACTGAGCATGTACCCTATGCTGGACACTCTTACCTGCCTGGGGACCCAGCAGAGACCAACACAGGACACTCGGATCTGTCCCCATGAGCGTGGAGGAGCCGATGTCCGGTCAGGATGTAGGAGCAACTTGAGGAGAGCAGAGGGAGGCTCCTGAGGCATGCCTGGCCGTCTTGCTATCTTAGTTAGAGGGGCCGTGGCTATGTTTGTGTGCTTAAGTAGGGTGTGCAGTGGGAGGCCAGGCAGGACCTCCTGACCATGTGGGGCCCCCTGAGGACTTGTTCCTCCACCCACTTGAGGCACCCATAGGGGGCTTGAGCAGAGGGGAAAGGGATCAGTGTGCTTGCATGTGCACATCCAGGTATTTATTTCTCATTTGCTTGTTTTAAAAAAAATCTGATAACAACCTTTGACCCTTCATCAGTCTGGCAGGCGCTCCCACCATGTGCCCCGCTGTCGCCAGGTAGCAGGTGTGCACTTGCACGAAGTGAAAGTCAGTGTGTGTGAAGGGAGGAAGGAGCTGGCACACATCTTAGTGTTGGATTGAGAGAACCCACAGCGTAGAATTACATTGATGGACTTGACCCAAACCCGACCCGCTGCCATCAAGTCAATTCTGAGTCGCAGCGAGGCCCTCTAGGACGGAGCCCCACCGCTGCTGAGCATTCGGGCCGGCAGCCTCAGCTTTCTCCCTCGGAGCAGCTGTTGGAGTTGAACTGTCTTTGTGGTTAGCTGCAAGTAGTTACCCAACAGCACCACTAGGACTCCTCCTGGACACAGATAGCCTCAGCTTTCTCCCTCGGAGCAGCTGGTGGGCTCAAACCACTCACCTTGTGCTTAGCCGCCCACAGCTTAGCCTGCAACACCAGGTCCCCTCCGATGGCTAGCGCTCCATGCAGAAATGGCTGGTTTCAGGTAGCCCAACACAATAGGCCAGAGCTACAAAGAAACGGTCGCAGACCGAGTGCACTTACTGTTATGTTAGGCAGGCATGCGTGCAGTGGAGTTTGGAGGCTGTTGGACTTGGGTGGTGGGGCAAAGCAGGCTTGTTAGAAGCCAAGATGTTGACTGGGAGGGGGAAGAGGTCGGTATCAAATAAGAGCACACCACACCAAACTCACTGCCATCGAGAGAATTTGGAATTATGACCAGCCCGTGGGGCAGGGGAGACCTGCCCCTGTGGGTTTCCGGGACCCTCATCTTTCTCCCGCAGTGTCTGGTGGTTTCAAACTGCTGACCCTGCAGTAGCAATCCAGCAAGTAACCCCTCTGCCACCAGGGTCCATTGGGGCAAATGTGAGAAAATGGAGAGGAAAAGCTTCCCCCTGGTGGTCGGCTGGAGAAGGACAGGTGGTGGCAGTAAGACCAGCCTAGCTGTGGCATCTCTTGGTCTTTCTCGTCTGGAGCAGGCAGGCAACAGGGTGATGAGCTTCGATCCCCGTTGGCTCCCAGGCTCTCCAGGGGGTTGGGATTGGATTGGGGTGACCAAAGTCCCTGCACGGCCCCTTGTCCCTGCAGACAGCCAGCTGAAGGTGTGGATGAGCAAATACGGCTGGAGTGCCTACGAGTCGGGCCAGATCTTCATCTGCAGTCAGGAGGAGAGCATCAAGCCCAAGAACATCGTGGAGAAGATTGACTTTGACAGTGGGTGGCGGCCAGAGGCTGAGGGGGTGGGGTAGGGAGAAGGCACCGCTCTCAGCAGTCTCCAGCTGAGACTGAGGACCCCAGCAGAGATTGGATTCCCACCTCCTCGTAGCTGTGCTGGGGCTACAGGCCAGGGAGGGCTGAGATGGGTGCTGGGCCCAACTCCTGCAACACTCAACCAGACCCTAGGGGCTGGGAGGCGCCTGCAGGGGTCCCCACTCCCTTATTAGTGCCCGGGTGTGAGTGTAGCGCCTCTGTCACTTTGGGCAAGAGGTCTGACCTCCCCTGGTCTCAGAGTTTTCCACAAAACAGATGACCGGCCACAAAAATTCTAATCTAACAACCAGCACATAGTTCTGCTTACTATGTCATTTGACCCATGGGAGGTAGCCACCCCTTTTGTAAATTGCTCATTAGCAAGATTGGCCCCCTCAGGGAGTGGGGTGGTGGGAGGTGAGATGGTCTGAGGAGAGCACTTTGTCAAGAGCCAGTTTCCATTGCTTGACAAATGGCAACCACCGTGAGCAGTTTGCCGACACCACCCTGTCACCTCCCACTCCCCGGGACCTCATAGGACAGAGTAGATGTGCCCCTGTGGGTTTTCCGACAGTGGACATCTCAATGGGAGCTGATAGCCTCATCTTTCACCTGAGGAGCAGCTGGTGGGTTTGAACCGCTGACTTGGCCGCTAGCAGCCAGGGCTCATGAGCTTAGTGCTCATAGGTCCAAAGAGTGACGAGCTGCTTGGCCACCCTGCTGGCTGAGGGGAGCCTCGCAGGCAGAGCCAGGGACAGGATGGCTTGATGGCTTCCCGTGGGCCCTAGTTCATCTATCTGCCCTTTGGGGTGAGGCTGATGGTTGGAAGATGCCTGTTGGGTGATGGGCCTCCTTGTTGGCACAGCTGATGAGGGCCTTAGTTGAGGAACAGCACTGAACGGTCGTTCCTCCGCCCCCAAGGAGCCAGTGGTACCTGCCTCTGAGTTAGACGAGCCCTCAGGTTCTGTGTAAGAACCCCAATACAGCCTCACTGCTGTCGAGCCCATTCCAACCCTGTAGGGTTTCTGAAACTAACTCTTTATGGGTCTGGAAAGCCACTGCTTCTGTGGAGCAGCTAGTGGTTTCGAACTGCTGACCTTGTGGTTAACAGCCTAATGTATAACCACCACGCCACCAGGGTTTCTGGGCCAAGAGAGAGTCTTGCAAACAGTGGGGGATGGCATGGCTCTGAGCACCTCAGTTCGTTGCTGTCGCCTAATTGGCAGACTGGGAAGCTGATGCACAGAGATCTAAAGTGATCTGCTCAGGGCCACCCGCTGGTAAGAGGAAGACTTGGGAGCCCTGCCCGGGCTTCCCAGCTGCAGAACCATGCTGGTGGTCTAGGCGCAGGAGCTCCATCTCCCGTCCCCCACCACTGACCTGGTCTTTTCTCTTCCCCACAGGCGTATCCAGCATCATGGCCTCCTCCCAGTAACCACAACCCTTTAATAAAGCTTTGTGAACTGAGCTGTGTCCGCCTCACTTCCTGCCTCTGCCCCTGGTCACCAGAGGGAGCCAGAGAGCAGGCCTTGCCCCTCATGCACTACCTTATGCTCTGTTGGCCTGGGCCCGGGCCCTTCTTCCAACTTCCTCTTCCTCCTCAGATCCTCCACGCCCACCCTCCTGTCAGGTTCCCCGAGGGATTGTGTGGATGAAATTTGCGCAGGGAAGGACAGCCCTGTAGCTGGGTCTGGCCCAGTCTCTTGTGCCCCATGGAGCCGGCCACCTGGTTTTTGTTGAGACACAACCTCTACCTTGACAGACCAGAGGCCCATGCTCACGAGCTGCCAGGGACCCTGCCAGCGGCTGTCTGGGGCCTTGGCGGGGGTGGGGGGGTGTCTGTCCCTTCACCCGTTGTATGTCCTTAGCCTAGTGAGGACACCCTGTCCCAGTGCCAGCATTTGAGGGTCGAGTGCCAGCCCCGCTCATCCAGGGCGCAGCCCTGCCTGGGCTCCGTCTATTCTAGGTTCAGCAGGGCGTGCCCGAAGTTACCCACTAGTCCTCCGCTCTCTTTTTGGAACGGAGGATTGGAACAAGGCAGCTCGGTGTTGGCGTGCCCCAGGCCAGAAAGCTGCTGAATTCCCTTAGCCGCCCGCCCATTCTCCCTGTCCTTGGGCTCCTGGCCCAAGTGTTGGCCAGTCAGTCACCAGGCCTCTCTTCCAAGGCACCTGGTGCTGGATTCAAACATCCATGCAGTCTTTCACCTCAGGCACCACCCAGGGGCTCTCCATTTTATACAGGTGACATGTTGGCAAGATGACCTTGGCCAAGTGTCATTCCCCCACCCCTCCCCCAACCTACTGTTTCATCTGTATTGGGGGTGGGGCACCTCAGCGGCTGCCTCTGCAAGATGGTGGGAATTCATCCCTTAGTGTAAGTTGGTGGCTGCCCTCTCCACCCCCACAGAGAGCACCTCGGAGGCCATGGTGCCCATGTTAGGGCAGGAGGCCAGAGGCATCATGTGAGCCTTGGCCTGTCCAGCCCTCCCTGCCTGCCTGTACTCACGTGGGAGCTAGTGCACCCTTTGCCCTGTGAGTCAGACCTGGGCAGGGCCAGGCCCTGGGGACTGGGAGGAGAGGAGCCTGTGCCTCCAGCTATCCACCTATGGGTTCCTGTGCGGGTGGGCACGGCTCCCACCCTCCCACAGGGCAGGTGCCTCTGTGTAAGCTACCACTGCATGACTGGCTGTGGCTGCTATCGAGGCAGCGGACAGGAAATGGTCTCAGCCTCTTGTCCCCACTGCTGACGGCCAGCTCTGTGAGGGTTGTCCCTTGGTGGCTAAGGCCTGGCTCAGGAGGAAGAATGTCTGGGTTCCAACTCCAGCCCAGTGACCTTTGTGCCTCGTGGATTCTCTGTCTTTGCTGGTGGAGAAAATCAGAATGGGGCCAGCTTCATTTGAGGGTGGGTGAGGCGGGCAGAAAGCTTGACACCTCTTGCTCTCTCCAAACACTTGGGGGCCTGGTGCTGCCGGCTCAGGTACCAGGCTGCTGTTTCAGCTGCTTCCATGGTCCCCTCTAGACATCCCAGTGTTCCACCTCCTGTCCCCACTGGGAGGACACAGTTCTCTCCTTTGTTTTCTCAGAATATTATGAACCATTTGCCAATGATGCCTATAATAAATTCTGACCTAAGTCTCCAGGATTCCCAGACGTGATCATGAAGAATGTAGGATTCTAAAGCTGCCGCAGGCCCCACTGGTTAGTTAAACCCTGGGCCACTGACAGAGATTGGTCTTTGGGATTCACCCTGAGGCACCCCAGAAGAAAGACCTGAGGCTCTACTTGTGAAAGAGTGATGGAAAACCCCAGAGCAAATTCTAATCTGACAACACGAGATGGCCATGAGTCAGCGGTGACTCCCGCACCAATCTTCGACGTTTCTCTGTCTTAACACAACGTGTGTCCCAACATGGCCCTCGATCCCACCCCAGGAGCACCCCCTCCCCAGGTTTTCTTTGGCCTTCCACACCCCTTTGAAACCTCTGTACCTTAGCAAACCCTTGGACACCATTCTGACCCCCTGCTAATGGGCTCCTGCATTTGGAGGGTGTGTGTCTATGGTTATTTTGTCCTTGTCCCATTGAAAGCTTAATAAATATTCTCTAAATTAAAAAGATAAGCAGGAGAGAACAAAATGAAAATAGACCACATGACAACTGGTTAGCATCCATTGGCCATGCCCCTTCACTTGGATCTTCTGGTCTCCTGCCTCCCCACCAGCTGGCTGCCCCTTAAACCCTCCATGGACTAAGCCGTGATTATATCCATGGTTGGCTGCTGGGAAGTGGCCTTACAGTTGGCAATTAGAGGGAGTCTTTAATTTAAGCCTCATTGTCTGGGGCCAGCCCTCCATCTCTCTGCCCTTGGTCTGGGAGTTTCTCAGTGCCCACCGGGAGCAGACAGGGAGGCACCGGGGCCTAAGGGCCTTTCCCACTGTGCCAGGCCCAAGTCTCAGAGTTGACATCCAAGTTGGGGAGAAAGCGCCTGCCCTGCCCCAACCCAGCCCAGCTTTGGGAACAGCCAACACCCCTGGGTCTTTAGTCAGGCCCTGGCATCCCCTGAGAAGGCAGGCCTTGTCCCCTCTCCCTTGGGCTTTTCATGTGGCTTTGGCAGAGGAGGGAAAAAAAATCCTTGTAGCTTCAGTACTTGGAGACTTCCTGGCTTCTAATCCTCATCCCAGCTCCAAGTGGCTGGGCTGAGACAATCCTTTCGCTTCACAGGACTGGCCCAAATGCCCTGCCATCAAGGCAATTCAGAAACATAGTAACCCTTTAGGACAGAGTAGGGCTGCCTCTCTGGGGTTCTGAGGCTATAATTCTTCATGGGAATGGAAAACCTCATTTTTCTTCCAAAGAGCGACTGGTGGTTTCAAACTGCTGATCTTGCAAGCAGCAGTCCCACACATAACCTACTGTGCCACCAAGGCTCCTACACTGCTGGCCAGGTTCCCCCATCAAGTTGGCTCTGATTCATGGAGACCTTCTATGTAACAATAAAATGCTGCCTGGTCCTGATCGCTGATACTGTGGCTCTCCTCTTCCAGCACTGCATGGCGGACAATCTTCTGTCGTGGCTCAGAAGGTTTTCACTGGTTAATTTCAAAAGTATGTCGGCTTCCGGGTCTTTCTTCCTAGTTTATCTTGGTCTGGAAACCAAAAAGCTCAAACTCACTGCCATCAAATCAATTTGGATTCATATTGATCCCTATAGGACAGGGTAGAACCACCCCCTGGAGGTTTCTAAGAGTATAGGAGTAGAAAGCCTCATCTTTCTCCCAGGGGAGAGGCTGGTGGTTTTGAACTGTCAACCTTAGGCTTAGCTAGCAGCCCAACCTATAACCATGGCTCCTTATGAATCTGGAAGCTCTGCTGAAATCTGTCCACCCTAGATGATCTTGCCGGTTCATGAAATATTCCTGACAACAGTGCGCCAACCACTGGAGTATGACAAACTGATACACCGGTGGTCGGCAGCACATAGTAGGGACTCAGGAAATGCTCACTGAGTGATGATAAGACTATTCCCAAACTTCCTTTACAAGCCCAGTCAGCCAGGACCTTTTTCCAGTGTCTATTTTGTGAATCCTTTAAAACTTTGTTCATCTGCCTATCTGCAACCCTACGTTTTTATTGCAATTCGTGCTTGATTTCTTCTCCATAAAATGTAATCACCTTCTTCCATGGAGCCCAAACCCACTTCTGTGAATCGGTTCTAATTCGGAGCGGTAGTACTGCCTCACATTATCAAGGCTATAATCTGGAAGCAGGCTCCCACGTGTTTGAGGTAAGAGTCAGCATGTTGGTTGGTTTCAACCACCAACCTTTGGATTAGAAGCTGAACCCTTAACTCCTGCACCCCAAGAGTTCCATGCTTTTAGCTGTTGGTTTGCAGTCTCTTTCCTGGACAACCGTCCCGTGAGGGCGGAGGGTTCGGTCTATCTCGTTGGATGAGCTGTCAAGGAGCTGAACTGACTTTCGGTTCAAGGGAAAGAGATGCATTTTATTGAAGAGAACGACCTTCAGTCGAGCCGGCTGCACGTGAGGATTCACAAAGGATTTGGGAGTGAGTCCAAGGAAAGTATTTGGGAGTTAAAGGAAAGAAAGAAAAACGCCCGAAGATGTGGAAATGCACAAAAAGCATGCCTCCACAAACCCAGGGCCCATTCCTGAGCTCTCGCTGGAGCTCTCTTGCTAACGTTGGAGTCAGTCAGCCTTTTGTAATGGACGGGTATTTCGGGTGAACATCCTTCCTGGGAGCACGCTGCGGGAGGGAGGGGGAGGAGGGGAGCCCGCAGGCTTCCTGAGTTCGGCTGACTCGCGGACTTTTCAAAGTCAGCTCAAGCAGCAGCAGTGAGCAGCAAAAATGGAGTCCAGCCTGGCGCTCTGGCGGAAGCCTCTCCTTATGCCAAACCCCAAGACTTTTAAAAGCTTCTCCACTGCGTCAAAGACATGAGCTGGCACCCAGCAGGGGCTCGGTGACTTTGTGTGGCCGGGTAGGAAACCAAGCCGTGCCCGAGCAAGTTTACGGCGGCAGGGCGAGACCCACCTTATGAATCATTCATGCGTGGCCCCGCCCACAACCGGCTAACGCACGCGCTCTCGCGGGAGCGGCTCGTAGCTTCTGGAGAGGAGGCGGGGTTGGCTGGGCGTGGAGTGGGTTCTGCGCATGCGCCAAAGGCGCCGGGGCGGGTCTGGTGGCAGGGCAGCGCGCGCGCGCGCGGGAGGGGGGCGGCGGCAGGGCGGTGCGCAGGCGCGGCGAGTAGTGCGCAGGCGCCAGCGGAGGGCGGGCTGAAGCAGCTGAGGCGGTAGCAGCGGCGGCGGCGGCGGCGACTCCAGCAGAGGGGCGGGAGCTGAGGCGGGAGCGGACGGCTGGTGGGCGAGCAAGAGGCGGCGGAATGGTGGACTACCACGCGGCGAACCAGTCGTACCAGTACGGCCCCAGCAGCGCGGGCAATGGCGCCGGCGGCGGGGGCAGCATGGGCGACTACATGGCCCAGGAGGACGACTGGGACCGGGACCTGCTGTTGGACCCGGCCTGGGAGAAGCAGCAGCGCAAGGTGCGCGGGCCGGACGGGCTGGGGTCTGCTGGTGGGGGGCGGGGGGCTGAGGGTTCCGAGAAGAGGCGACTGGAGGGCTGAGGTGGAATTGGAAGGTCTAGGCTGGGAATTGGGGGTCCCGGGAAGGCACTGGCGCGTCTGGACGGGGCTTTGGGGTCTTGAAAGGGCCTGAAGAAAGAACTGGGGGCTGAAAAAAATCAATAATGGCTGAGTAGGAAACTAGAGGGGCTTACAAAAGGAATCGGGAAGCTTGATGGAGGAGTTAGGGTGTCTGGATTGGGAGGGGGCGTCGAGGCGATAATTGGGGGGTCGCCGATGGAACTGGGGTCCGAGGGAGACTCGAAGGTTCGAGAAGGGCCTGGGGTGTTGGGAGAAGGGACTGGCGCCTGGGGAGGGGGTTTGTCGCCGTGGAATCCGGAGAGAACCTTCGCTGCAAAGGGGCTTCGCTAGCGCGGGGAAGGGAGTGGAGGCCTGGGGCTGGGGGGCTCCGGCCTAGGGGACACCGAGGGCATGTGGAATCTGGACGCTGAAGTTGGAGTTTGGATGCCCAGGAAGGCAGCGTGCGGTCGGAAGAGAGAGGGCTGGCTCGGGGGACTGGGAAGGGACTCCAAGGGTTCTTCTAGGGAACATCGCGGTGAAAAGCCACTGGGCTTGAGGTGTGGGGTAGGGGTCTCAAGAGTGGGTGCTGAGGGGACCTGTGAATAAGTAGTTTTTGACTGTGTGCGTGTGAGAGAGTTGTGTGTGTAGGGGAGCTTATTAAGGGAAAGGGGAGGAGATTGGGAGATTGGAATCTCGATATGATAGGGGCTGGAGAAGCCAAAGGGAGATGGTGGAGTTTGGGGTGACTTGAGGGGGGGGGTTCTGCAGACTTGCTGAAAGGTGGGAAAACTTTGGAAAGGGTGGAGCAGGCAATATGTGAAAAGTGAGCTGGGGCCAACCCCAAGCTGGAACTCCAGAGGGAGGAGGGTTTAGGACAAGGAAAGTCGCCCCTCAGAGGGAATGGGTGACAGAATTTTGGAAGGAGTTTTGGGGGTCAGGAGAAGAGGGAAGGTAGGCATTGTAAGAGGTGTTTGGGGGAGGGAGTGTTGAGCATTCAGGAGGAATCTAGTTCCCCTTTCCCTTTTTTTTAGGTGGTGGCCAGGAGAGGAGCTGGGAAGGTGTCCTGGTTTCAGAGGGACTTGAGGGGGTAGAAGTAGCTTACGGGGCACCTCCAGGAGTGAGGGGCTCTGAAGTAGTGTGGGACACCCAGTGGGGAGTGAGTGAGTGAGTGTGTGTGCGTGTGTACAGAGGGGTTGCTCGGACATGCTGGGCTGCTGGTGGTGGTGGTGTGTTGAGTCAGTGCAGAGAGAGCTGAAGAGAGGCGGTGCTGTGTGGGTGTGTTTTTTGTGGGGTAGGGGGTCGCTTGTGATGAAGGGGGTGGGGGAACTGGAAGTCAGAGGCATTTATGGCATTCGAGACCAGGCTCCTAGTCCCAGAGGGGTCACTAATCAGCTGTTTGGACCCCAATGGGTCTTGTCTGTGTGCTCTGACAACTATGAAAGTAGGAGGAGTCAGAGAGGCCCCAGTGGTGGTCGTCTGGGGTCCCAGGGCTTTAGTGGCATTTCTCAGGAGTGGGGTGGGGGGACTGGAGCGTTTCCAAAAGAGCAGACTGACCGGGTGTCTTCTGAGGGTGGACATTGGGGTTCTGGAGGTGCAAGCTGCTCAGTTTGTTCCCAGGCAGCCTGGGTGGGGCCCGGCATAACCTTGGCTAAATGACCCACCTCTCTGGGCATTTCCTCAGTACCCACTAAGGTGGAGGTACTGGGATCCTAGCCTGCTCCCCGAATTGCCTTGTGGGGGTGGGTGGCAATTGAGAATACTGACTTAGAAAGACTTGTTTTTTGAGGGGAAGAGGAATTCAACTCTACAATAACTTATTACCCGAGGGAGGATGGGCCAAGTTGGAGAAGGTGAGGGGTTGTCAGGAGACTTGGAAAGTTGAGGGGGCAAAAGGGGACCCCGAGTTTGCTTTGGAACTCATCTAGGATCTGCCTGGTCCAGTTTGGGAAGGTGACCCCTGACCCTTGCTTTCCAACTAAGGCCCATCCTTTTCCTTCTCTTCCTGGCCTCCTCTACCACTCCCCCGTGACTCCTTGCCTGCCCAGCCCCACTCCCTTCTGGGAGTTAGGGTGTGTGCTTCTGGCTGTAGTCACCCTTGACTGCAGGGTGAGGCTGGGGCCCCATTCAAGCCCTGGGCAGGAAGCGGCACCCAAGGCTTGGCTGTGCCCTTCCTAAAGTGAAGGGTAAGGGTGTGGGGGAGGGCTGCCCACAGATGACTTAACACTGGCTGCTTTAGGTTTCCGTAAGGGCCAATTCCTAGCATGTCCGCCTCTAACCTACTCCAGCAAATATTTACACCTAGCTGTTCTTTGGAGGAAGAATAATGCCTCATTGGCAGGCTCTTCCTGGCACTGGGCAGGGAATAGTGGGAGGGGAACCATGCGCCCACCTTCCAAAGACCCCTTTCCCCAAACAGGCCTTCGGGCTGGTCTTACAGTGACGCATTAATGAAAGACATTTTGTCTCTTCTTGTCTCTCCAATGCTGAGCCACCCACAGGGTGAGTGACAGTACCGTGTGTGCCCTGTCACACAAACTTATCTTCGAGACAGTTCTTGAAAATCCAGCTCCCTATCATAGGTCAATCCTGAACTCAGCAACCCTTGAGGACTAGAACTGCCCCTGTAGGTTTCAGGGGCTGTAAATCTTTATGGGAGCAGACAGCCTTGTCTTTCTCCCCGAGGGCAGCTGGTGGGATTGAACCACTCCCAGGCCCTTAAAATATATGGAATTCTCCGGATTGCACAAGGGGTGGCCCAAGTCAGTGTCTCAGCGTCTCTCTCATTGGTTCTCACTTCTACCTGGAGGCCCTTTTCTCTGACCCCAGAGAAGGCGCCCAGCAAGGAAGAAAGGTTTGAAGCCCCTTTTCTAGGGACCCCCATAGGCTTTATCTGGCCAGTAGATTAGGCAAATGTTTTTATATGACAGGGCTTGTCTCCTTTTCCTGGGGCGTGGGGAAGGACGGGACTTTGAGTACGTTCTTGAGCATTTATGTTTCTGTGCCACGAACCCCTCTTCTCCCCAGTGCTGAAAACAGCTCCAGCAGCATTTTGGGTTGGGAGTGGGGCTTGTGTGTTGGGCTGGGGTGTGTGGGGGGTGCTCTCTTAGAAAGGTGAGAGCTCTTGAAAGGCATTGGACACAACTTTCACCCCAGCAGGAGGCAACACCTTGTTTGCTAAGCTGACGTGTTCTCTGAGACTTTGCTGCTTGTGTTTAGACCTGACCTCAGGCAGGGACTCATTGAGGTGTGAGTTCACTATTTGCAAGTTTGCTGGGGCTTCTGTTTGCTTCCTGTCGATCTTATTTCATAAAAAAGAATTGGATGATGACTGTCCCCAAAGTAGCCATCTGCTCTTTTGTCCCATTGTCCTAATTACTCACGTCTTAGAATCTGACTGAGACAAACAAATCCATAGCAGTTTTCAAAAGTGAATAACAACATTTTTTTAAAAGTGAATAACATACTGCCTTGTGCTCCCCCAAAGTGACCCAACTCCACCATGTTATGTAGAAACAGACCTTGTTAAATGAGGGAGCAAAACAAGTGTGCCCTGTTTGCCCTTTGGGGAAAGGTGGGAAAGCTCCTCAGCTACTAGCACTGTGCCCTGCCACCCCCTCAAGACAGTGTGTTTCCACACGGCTCTTGTGCTGGCGAGAGAAGAGGTGAAACTGGCTAACTCCTCCCCGGCGGAGAGTGGAAATGGGTTGGAGCGGTGGGTGGCTTGGTACCTGCCTGCTCACTTAATCCTGGGCAGGCCGGTGCCAGGGCCAGTCCCTCTCCCTTTTGATCCGCCCTCCCTGGTTCCGGCTTCAGAGAGCAGCAGGGAGCTGACTCACCCTCCATTGGAAAAAGGGCTCGTCCTTGGGCAGCTTGGTGGACTGAGGAAGTTTCAGAGAAAACAGTCCAGGGAAATAAATGAGAGTACGTAGTGGCAATAGGCAAGTGCTGCTGCACCAGGCCAGCCCACTACCCTAGGGGCAATCCTGGCTCACAGCCTCCCCGGTCTAGGGATGTCTCCTTCAGTGCATCTGGTGGCTTTGATCTACTGGCTTTAGGATTATCAGTCCAGGGCCTAAGGACCCTGCAGGTGCTTGCTCATGCCATAGTGCCTCCTGAGATGTACTGGTGGAGGTCAATTTGAAATGTCCTTTGAGTCAGGTGACAGGGGAGCAGGGACAGGCCTGGAGGCGGCAGTCTTAGCCTCCGGAGGTGGCAAGAGAGTTCTTGAATTTAAACATACCACTCTGGTTCTGGCCGACTTTGGCCAGACAGTGCCCCTCTGCCAGAGTTCATTGGGCGAGTCGGACAAGTCATCTAGCAGAAGACAGCAGAGAATGGAGCCAACACAAGAGTTGATTTGGGAAGGGGGGTTGGGGCGGTGCTGCTGAGATAAACACTTTAGGGGGTGCTACACTGACTTATCAGGCACTGCCAATTGTAAAAGCCTCTGACCACGTTTTAAAGTGTCTCGCCCCTTGCTGCTGCTTGTGTTACTCCTTTTTCTCTCCAAGGGGGTGGGCAAAAAACAATTAGTGAACAGCTGTTTGCTCGAGTATCACTTGCTCATTCAAGTTTTCCAAATTGCTGAAATATCAACATGTTTATCTCTTTGCTGGCTTTGAGTGCTTCGTAGATCAATGTGTCCCCTGCTCAGGCCCTGTTGCTTAACCAAATGGTGTCCAGAGGAGCCTTGGTGGCATAGAGGTTATGGGTTGTCAGCAGTTCAACACCACCAGCCGCTCCCAAAGAGAAAGATGAGGCTTTGTACTCCAGCATAGAGTACATTCTCAGAAACCCGTAGGGCCGGTTCTACTCTGTCCGAGAGGGTTTGGTGTTTTTAGGGGGGTGTTGTCCACGCTCCTCTCATGCACTCTCAGCTCCCCTCCACTTCCTTCCTCTCT